TAAAAACATATAAATAAAGCAAGATTCTTGTGGTTGTTGTCCACACTTGCACTAGACACCTGTGGTCCGTCTCTTTCTTTCCTCGCCGACGCCACCCCACCTATTCAGGTCCAACAAATCCTGCGGAGCTGGTCTACGGCACTGAACTTATAGGGGTGACACGATGGTCCTGGGTTCGCTGCACCTCTAAACTCCTCTTATGTCCCTCTTCGGGGGATATTTGATTTTCTCTTTCACTCGCTGCCATCAGTGAGACAGGTTTGGAACTGAACACCTTAGTGTCAATTTGAGGAAGTGCAGGGAGGCAGGCAAGATGAGTACAGTGTCCCTAGGTCATCCCTATGACTCACACTGAAATCTTCCAAGCCCCAAAGGGGACACACTCAATGGCATCACTCTCGTGGGGTTTTTAAGAACCAAGCAAACTGGTTTAGAGTCACAGATCTCACCCTCCACAGGGATGCAGCTCTAATGTGTTTGCTTTTGCTCTTAATAGTCTGCATTGTTTGCCCATGTATCCTTATTGACAGGATTTTCTTCAATCTTCCTGGAACCATGGAGGCAATGAGCAAACAGGATGACACATAACTTAACAGGCCTCCAGTAACAGAGAGCCCTGTGTGAAAGAAGAGCCTTTGTGATCTGGAAACAGGGCCCAGAAGACATTTTCAGGTTCATCCCAGGTGACAGTACATCTCTGCACCACACCATTTTAGAGTGAATAAAATGTGGGAGCACCAAGAATAAAAAGAAAAGAAGGAACTGGTCACTGTCGAAGGAAAGGAAAGGAAACTTGGTGGCTCTGAATGGCTCCTAGCAGCATGTTGCGTGCCAGCTGAAGGAAAGAACAGCTGGGCTGTGGGCGGAACTCCTGCCATTTTAAATCTCGAGGAGGCTAAGCCAGTGTGGTGAGCCCTGGGGTTGGGCAAGAGAGTCCTGGTGGTTTGGATGCTCTGCCAAGGAGTGGCAGTGGTGCTGGGGTCACCAGCCTAGGAACGCAGGTATCCTCCCAGGGCATGTGCCCTGAACATACGTGCATGGACCACGTGCAGGAGCCAGGGCTCCAGGAGCTGCAGATCTTCTCCAGATCCATTCACCCCTTGCTCTGGGTCACTCTTCCCTTCATCCCTGTCTGCCTGTCCTTTCCTCTCTCCTTCCCATTCTCACTCACCCACTTACTCATCTCTGTAATGTCTGTGTGTGAACAGAAATGAGTAGTGTGTAAGACATTCATGCAACCAACCCTCATGAAACTCGCACCACAATAGACTGTGATGAGTCTTGTGAAGGGGTGTACAGGTTGCTGTGGGTGCTTTGCGTCTCCTCCGCTCTCCCCTTATGCCCCCACCTCATTAGTCCTTTTTTCCTCTTGTCCTCTAGTGAACTCTTTCGTTTTCTTGCCCTGGACTCTCTCACTTCTTTGCTCCTTCTGCTCTGTCCCCATCTCTTTTCTCCTCCCTTGTCCCCCTTCACTCTCCCTCCCTTTCCATGATTTCTCCTCCTTTTTCTCTTCCTGTCTTTCCTTCCATCCATTCCCCTGCCTGACCCCAAACCCTGGTCATGCTCAGTTCTCACTCTCAAGGACCCTTTCCCCAACCGCAGCCCGCGTGCACATCTTCCAGCAGCCACAGCCCTGCTCCCACACTTAGTGCTTCAGATTTCAAGCATTTGATCCCCTGACCTTCTGCTTCCCTCACTGAAGTCACATGCTCAGGCACACACAATTCAGAGGAATCACAAAGAACCCCCAGAACCTGTTGAAATCTTGCCCTGAGCTTTAAATAAAGCAGTTAAAATTTGGCACGTGTCAGTTTATAGGTCACCTTCTGTGTATATTTCACAATGCTACCTGTCATTATCACTGTATCACCCATGATCTCCATTTACAGATCAGGAACCTGAGGCTGAGAGAGATCAGCACTTGCTCAGAGTTACACAACCAGAATGGCCATATCGGCATTCAATCTCAGGTCCTCTAGCAAAGCCTCCATTCGTTTATGATAGGAGCTCACAGCAAAATGGAAGCGGGGCCTCTGCCCCAGGGTCGCCCCGTCTCTTTAACACCCCATGCTGCACACAGGCCTATGAGCAGGACTGTGCCCAGACATTCCTGAGCCTGTTGGTGATTCTCATTCTGAGCTTCGGTTTCCCTGCCTGCCTGTGTGCAGATGTGGTCATGTGTGTGCACAAGCACACACACACACCCCGCTTTCATACATACCCATTCCCCTCTCCAAACTGCTTGCTCTGATTCACCCTTCTACCCACCTAATTCTCAATGCCTGCCTGCCATCTGGAGAAGCAGAATTCAATGTTAGATGCTTAAATGGGCAACTGAGAGATGAGAATGTGACCTCTCACTCATTTTCCCTCCATGCCACTTTTTCTAATTGTCCCTAAGCACACGCACACACACACACACACACAGGCGCGTGCACACGCGCGAGCACACACACCATCGTCCCCTCCAAGTTAGTGTTTTGAACTTACCCAGATGCTGCAAATTCACCTCCAGCTGAGAGAGTCTCTTTATCACAGCCCTGTTCCACTCAGACAGAGGCAAATGAAGCTCCCTCTGGAGACCACCCAGAACCAAGTTTTGTAAAGTCCCCTTGGTATAAAATGCCAGAAGGAGATTGATGGCAATGACCAGAGCCAGACCAATGCAGAGGACTTTGGGGAACTTTCTCCTGAATATCATCTTCTCCCTGCAGCTTCTCCACTCCCTGTGGGGCTGAGTGTGTCACTGTCCAGGCAGGCTGAGGATCAGAACCAACTGTGCTTTGTCTGGCCGTCTGCATGGAGGATGTCCTTCCTGCTGAGCCAGATAGTCTCCGGGTGCGAAAGCTGTCACAAGCTGTCTGCTTCTCCCTGAGCAGTGTCAGGTGTGGGATGTATACCATGGCAGCCGCCTAGCGACTGTTAAGTCTTCTGGACACGCCTTGTACTATCTCAGAAGTCAGGAGAATGCTTGCTCCTGGAGATAGCTCAGCCTGCCTGGGTGAGAGGCTTTCTTCTCTTGTCTGTCTGTGTGTTTGTTTGGTTTTTAATGTTCTCTCTACCTTAAAAAATCACCTGGGAGACTCTCTAATAGAACATGTGAGGTCTGGGCCTGTGGGTGTGGAAGGAGATGAAGAGGATAAGAAAGGAATTCACAAAGTGGGGAGGGATTGTACTGCATGCTTTTTGAAGTAAGGATCTTAAATATTTTGAAGTAAGGATCTTAAATATCTTTTTACCTAACTCTACGGGGTCTTGAACAAAGTAGATTTGTAAAAAAAACGCTTGTTCAACAAACTCAAGGAGAGACTTTCCTGCTGAGTCCTGGGGCCTCACTGCCCAGCTGCAGGTGAAGATGAGCTGAGGCAGCCTGGGGGTGAGCCCAGGGGACAGTCCTGCTTCACTGGCTCTGTCCTCTGCCCAGCTTCTGCACAGCTCCGCACACTGGGGCTCCACCCTGCCATACCTTCCAGCAACTCCTCTGCCTCCACACCTCCCAATTGCTTTATGGTTTGGACAAAAAGCCTAATTATCATCATTATAGATTGAAAGTTTAAAATTGTTCCCCAGGGCCAAAAGTTTAAAATTCTCAGTCTAGTGTTGAGTCTCTCTATAATCATAACTCCCACCCTGTCCCAGCCCCTTGGACTACTTAGCAGGTCCCCAAACAGTACATATGCAGACAAGTTCTGAGGCAGACGTGTGGGTCAAAGTAAAGAAATGTGGCTTTAGGAAAGGCAGGTAACACAAAAAAGAACAAAATGAAAAGTGATCAGTTGTTTTGTTTTTTATCAATGGAAAGTCTTTTCTAGGCTTCCACCTGAAAATTAGAGTCAAAACAACTTAAAAATGTGCAGTGCCTTCCATTTCTGGGACAAGATGGAGTAGACAGGTTTATCTCTATTTCTCCCCACTAAGGGCACCTAAAAACTCAGGGCATTATATATTTAAAAGAATAATAAATAAGAAGACTCTGAAAAGAGGAGAAGAGAGGGCAGACTGGCTAGACATCTTGGGACCTAAAGAACAACACAGATGTGAGCTCCCTGGTTTTTTGGTGCCTAATATTTGGGTGACCTGGTCTGGATGCTGGAGAAGTCACAACCTGCAAATGCTAATAGGCACAGACAGTAAAAGCCACAAGAAAAACCTGTTCTAACGACAAAGGTTCTTTCCTTGACCAAACTGTCCTCAGCCTTCTGAACCTTCTCCTAGGCCCATCTGTGCACTTCCTTGTAAAATACAGTGTTAGCCAAAGAACTCTGCTAAGTCAGTGTAGCCAGAACCCCTCATCCTGCCTATCCGATCACCCTCGGCATCTGATCACGTTCCTCATCCTCCACCATCGCCCAGGTGATGTCTGAGCACTCTGGCCTGTCTTCAGCAAGGTTGGTTTAGCCAGAATTCTCCTTATCCCCGATGTTTCCTCTTAGTAATTTCTCATTCACTAACTCCCAACCTCTTCCCTGGCTGTAAATTCCCACTTGCCCATGAGATATTCAGAGCTGAGACCAATCTCTCTGCCCCACTGCAAGACCCCGTTGCAGTTCAGGATCACAATGGTCTTGAACTTATTTATTTAAAGTCACTTACTGCGCTTTAACAAGTATTATGCAATAATTTTTTAAAACACTAACCAAAGGAACAGGAAATGGACAGCCTAGCAAGACAGAAAACATTTAGACAATTACGGCCCTACTCCAGCCGAACACTCCTGAAAAGCTTGCTGTGCCACACTCATTCCATCCACAGGGCCATGTGGGGAGCATAGACTCCCATTCTCACCCTCGCTGTGGCGATGTGTACCATCCCCCGTCCCCCTCCAGGGTGGAGTCACAGAAGACCTAGTGGAGAGCCAGAACTGTTTCGCCTGTCCCCCATAATGTCAGTAAGGGAGCAGTAATGAAGTGACCGTCCCCCTCTCAGTGAGTGTGGTGTCCGTGCAGACCTAGTGGGAAACATGGACTTCCTCCCTCACCCATCAGGAATGAGGCAGCCCCTTCCCACCAGGTGTCAATGGAGGCCGAGGGGGGAACCTGGACTTTCACTCCCACCTGGCAGTAATGAAATGACATCTCTCTTTCCCCACCAGAGCAGTGTCAGAACGTTCTGCTGAACCAGAAGATCTGAATAAGGTCCAGAGTCTCATAACGTAATATTCAGAATGTCCATGATGCAATAAAAAATCACTGAAATGATTGAGAAAAGGCAATCAATCAATAGACATCAACATCAAGATAATACAGATGTTAGGTGCTGGCCGGTTGGCTCAGTTGGCTGGAGCACAGCCTTATAACAGCAAGGTCAAGGGTTTGGATCCCTGTACCATCCAGCTGCCAAAAAAAAGATAATACAGATGTTGGAATTGTCTGATGAGGATTTTAAAGCAGCTATAGCAACAAGCAATTGAGTCAACAAGCAATTATGAACATGCTTGAAACAAATGAAGAAGATAGTAAGCCAGCAAAGAAACAGAAATCTCAGGAAAGAAATAGAGGACATAAACAGGAACCAAATGGAAATTTTAGAACTGAAAAATAAAATAAATAAAATTTTTAAATTACTGGATGAGCCTCAACAGCAGAATGAAGAGGAGGGAGAAAAGAATTAGTGAACTTGAAGATAGAATAGAAATTAACCAATCTAAACAACAGAGAGAAAGTGGACTGAAAAATAATAATAGCATCTCAAGGGTCTGTGATTATAACAAATGATTTAATAGTCATGTCATTGGATTCATAGAAGGAAAGGAGAAAGTGTGGGCCAAAAAAAAAAAAAAAATTAAAGAAATGGGGGCTGAAATTTTCCCAAAATTGGCAAGAGACAAAAGCCTACAGATTCAAGAAGCTGAGTGAGGGCTGGCCCGTGGCTCACTCGGGAGAGTGCGGTGCTGATAACACCAAGGCCACAGGTTCAGATCCCATATAGGGCTGGCCGGTTAGCTCACTTGGGAGAGCGTAGAGCTGACAACACCAAGTCAAGGGTGAAGATCCTCTTACCAGTCATCTTTAAAAAAAAAAAAAGCTGAGTGAATCCCAAATAGGGTAAACTCAAAGAAATCCATGCCCAGATACATGATAATCAAGCTTCTGAAAACTAAGGACAAAGAAAAATCCTTGGAAGTAGCAAGAGAGAAATGACATCTACAGGGAGAGAAGAGTTCAGATGATAAATCTCTCATCAGAAATCATGAAGACCAGAAAGAAGTGTCACAACATTTTTCAAGTGCTGAAAGAAAAGAACAGTCAACTCAGAATTTTACATCCAGCAAAAATATCCTTCAGGAATGAGGGGGAAATCAAGACATCCTCAGACGAAAAAAAAAAACCAAGAAAATTTGTTGCCAATAGACCTATCTTAAAAGAATGGCTACAGAAACTTTCTAAATTAAGAAATGCAAAAGAAGGAAGCTTGGAACATCAGAAAGAAAGAAAGAGCAATAGAAAGTGTAAAAATATGAGTAAATACAAAAGACTTTCCTTTTCCTCTTGAGTTTTCTGAATTATGTTCCACAGTCAAAGCAAAAAGTCATAACACTGATATGGTTCTCAAACTGTATAGAAGAGATATTTAAGACAATTATATTATATACAGGGGAGAGTAAAGAGGCTTGAAATAAGGTAAGGTTTCTGCATTTCATCTGAACTGGTAAGATGACAACACCAGCAACTGTGATTAAGTCATGCATGCACAGCAGCGACGGAATCGTTCTGACGTATCTTGACTGTAGTGGTGGTTGCATGAATCTACACATGATGAAATGGCATAGAACTATCTACCCACAATACCAAAGGCAATTTTCTGGTATTGCTATTGCATTATAGTTATATAAAACATATCCACCAGGAGAAACTGGGTGAGGGGTACACAGAACTGCTGTAGTTTTGCAAATTTTTATGAAGCTATTGTAATGGATTGAATTATGTCCCTCCAAAACTCCCTGAAGCTCAGATTGTGTCCCCAAGTTTTATGTATTAGAAATTTAGCCCCTACTGTGATTGCTGAGGGTGGGAAATCCTATTATGGTAATTTAAAAGTGGAGGCTTAAAGAGGTGATTGGGTTGTAGGACCATGCGGTGGTGAAAGGATTAAAACTGGTAGTCAGGAGCGTGGTTCTGAGGGCTTTAAAAGAAGAGGAGAGTCTGTCTTTGTCTCTCTGGTCTCTCTGCTTCCACTGTCCTGCAATGTGAGACCCCTGGGTCACTGTCACCACCACCAGATGGACTTTGGACTTCCCAGCCTCAGAAACTGTAAGTAATTTCATTTTCTTTATATATCACCCAGTTCCATGTACTTTGTTATAAGCAACATAAATGGACTAATACAGAAAATTGGTACCAGAGAAGTGGGGTGTTGCTTATAAGAAATACTTGAAAATGTGGAAGCAGCTTTGGAACTGGGTGTTAGGCAAAGGTTGGAAGAGTTTGGAGGACTCAGAAGAAGACAAAGAGATGAGGGAAAGTTTGGACTGTCTTACAGACTGGCTACGTGGTGGCGAGCAGAACGCTGATAGAAATATGGACCCTAAAGACCATTCTAAGGAGGTCTCAGATAGAAATCAGAAGGAGTTTATTAGAATCTGGGGCAAAGCTCACCCTTGCTGTGAACTGGCAAGGAACTTGGCTGCATTGTGTCCATGCCCTAGGACTTTGTGGAAGTTGGAGCTTAGGGGTTGTGAACCAGAGTACTTGGCTGAAGAAA